GCACAATATTTCATCTGTGGTCTGACTAGTGCCTTAGCTAATTTAGCAACCTCCCTACTTTTAAATTCCATTCCTTTTGAAATAAAAATCATCATTCTATTTGCCTTCCCTTTTACCTGCTAAACTTGGACGCTAGTTTGTAGTGGTCAATGCATGTGGACTCCCAAATCCCTTGTTCTGCAGCCTTTCTCAATTTAAATAATATTCAGCTTCTCTATTCTTCCTGCCAAAGTGATTAAACTCACATTTCCCTCCACATAACATTCCATCTGCCAAGTTTTTGCCTACACAATTAACTTGTCTATATCCCTCTGCAGGCTTTTTAAGACATCCTTACTATTTGCCTTTCCACTTATTTTTATGTCATCTACAAACCTGAGTGTAATACATTCACTTTCCTCATCCAAGTCACTAATATAAATTTTAAATAATTGTGGGCCCAGCACTGATTCCTGTGGCACTCCACTAGTTTCAGATTGCCATCTTGAAAATGCCCCCTTAGTCCAACTCCCTGTCTCCTAATAATTAGCCAAACCTTTATCCATGCTAATACAATACATTTTTAAGGAGAGAGGAGAAATATTTCAAAAAGACATGAGGGGCAATTTTTTTTTTTTTACACAGAGAGTGGTTCATGTGAGGAATGAGCTTCATTGGAAGTGGTGGATGCAGGTATAGTTACAATGTTTGAAAGACATTCAGATAAGAACTTGAGTAAGAAAATGTTTGGAGGGATATGGGCCAAGCGCAGGCATGTGGGACTAGTTTCTTTTGGGACTATAGTCGGCATGGACCAGATAGACCAAAGGGTCTGTTTCTATGCTAAATGGCTCTTTGACTCGAAAATCGCCTCCAACAGCATGGGCTCTAGTCTTATTAAGTAGCCTAAGGTGCATTACCTTATCAAAAGCCTTGTGAAAATCCAAACCTATCATATCCACTGCTTCCCCTTTATTTAACCTGCTTGTTACTTTCTCAAAAAATTCTAGCAAAGTTGTCAGGCATTACTCCCCCTTCATGAAGCCAACCTGACTTTGCTTGATCATATTATGTATTACTAAAAGCTTCCATTTCCCAATAAGAGATGTTAAGCTAACCATCCTATAGTTACCTGTTTTTGTATCCTTCTCTATTCAAATAAAGATGTTACATTGTTTTTTCTACAATCCTCAAAGCTTTTCCAGAATCTAAGTATTCTTGAAAGATTACTAACAATGCATCCACTACCGCTGCAACTACTTCCTATGATGTCCGAGAATGCATCGCATCAGATCCTGGGGACTTACTAGTCTTTAGTCCCATTAGTTTCCCTAGTACATTATGGAAGAAACTCCATCCTTAACTCAGTCAGAGAGGCTTCGCAGTGGGGTTATCTGATGCTGCCTGGCCTGCTGGGTTCCTCCAGCTCCATATTGTATTGTCCCCATCCTTAACTGTCTGGTCTACATGTAACTCCAGCCCCATGGCAAAGTGTCGACTCTTAATGCCCTCTGCGCAATTAGGAATGGGCAATAAATGATGGCTTGTCCAGTGGCGCCCACAAAAAAATTCTTGCATGTTTACCCACAAAGTTTATCTTCTCCCACATCTTTTTTTTAATTGGTCATCTTTTGTTGGTTTATAAAACTCTGTTTTTAAGAAAAAAAACTTATTTAAAACTCAATCCTCCAGCTTACCACTAATCTTTGCCACATTCTATGTTTTCTTTCAATTAAATGCTGGTTATGTTTTTGCTGTGAGCCATGACCTACTTTCTTAAATATTTGCCTTTGTTCCTCAATCATCTTTCCTGCTAAACTCCTTTTGCAGTCCACTAAAGCAAGCTCTGCCTTCACTCATTTGTGAATACCCTTATTTAAGTTTGACACAAAGTCAGAAGTCACACAACACCAAGTTATAGTCCAACAGGTTTATTTGAAATCACAAGCTTTTGGAGCGCTGCTTCTTCGTCAGACTTCACCTGATGAAGGAGCAGTGCACCATAGGCTTGTGACTTCAAATAAACCTGTTGGACTATAACCTGGTGTCGTGTGACTTCTGACTTTGTCCACCCCAGTCCAACACCAGCACCTTCACATCTTAAGTTTAGCACAGTTGTTTCCAACTCAATTACCTTTCCCTCAAACTGAATGCTGAATTCTACCACGTTATGGTCAATGTTTTTGTTAACAGAATGCATGAAAATGGAACACATTTCATTCAGGAATAAAATCTGTGACCCTATCTCCTTTTTAGCCACCACATTGACAAATATGGCACAAGGTTCAAAAAGACTCAATACATACATACAATTCAAATAAATAAATACTGCGCATATTTTAACAGCTGGGGCAGAAAAATCGCTCATGCTACTTTTGCGTTCATACATTTTTCAATTATTTCTCATAGCCATGTCAAGTTGCAACCCTGATATCACTTGCTGAGGTGGAGGTAGTCTACTCACTATCTTGTCTTAGATGACCATTGTGGGCATCCTCTAGAGGCATGGAGCATTGAGGGATCCAGTCTACAGGGAGATCTTCTCCACTGATGCAGCAGCATTCTCCTTCACCTCACCTTCCAGAGTTGTTGAGATGAATGGTGAAGACAGGAAGGAGACACCACTCAGCCCATGGTTACCCTGAAATGAAGGCCCTGGGAGCTAGTGGCAGGTGTTCCTCCACCTTTGGATGTGCAATGGCACCACCGCATCTCCCTGAGGCGATGGAGCTTTTTGAAAGAAGTCCAGGTAACTCATCCTCCCTCTCGTCCAATCACTGCTGCACAGAGCCTATTGATGAAATACAGGTCAAAGCATATATAGATCAGATCCTCGACGTGGTTCTTCAAGGCTGTCACCTTTCTCTCTATGAATGAAGTCACGTGTTCAAATGCCTGGAATATTTCAGAACCCATGGCATTAATGCACTCCTCCATACTCCACTCAAAGCTGTGTATAAACCTGGTATCCCTACTATAGGTTCCCTTGGCCTCTGTTGCACGTCCAACAGGCTTCTTATGCCACAACTAAAAGCCCATCATTAGCGTAGAGATCAGCAGAGGTTTGGTCCCCATAACTCCTCCATGTGTCTAGGAACCAGTTCTCACATCGCAGCTCAGCTGCTGGATTGTATCTGTGGTGCGTTCACCAGGTTGTACACCCAAATCTACATGAGACCCATGTTCCAACCTTGGGCCACAAATGTTAATGATCAGGCAGATGATAATTCACTGGCTGCTTCATACCCATAGGTGGAGCTTCTGTATTGCCAGCAGCTTGGTCTTAGGATGGCGATAACTTTTGAGGAGAACAAAGAAGAATCACTGCTTGAATGATTCATATTTCTTCACATTCATCCTGTGTGTACACATGCCACCACCAGGCTGGTGACCTCATCCCTTACTTGTGGATGGTCCAATTTCACCCTCTACCTCAGTTGTGCTCCCTCTGCTCATCTACAATTTTCATCACCACCTCCTCAATGGGACTGGAGGCTCCTCACAGTATAACTTCTCCTGTATGTCTCCTCTCACAGGAATTGTGGGTCTGCTTCTGGATGACAAGTTATAGCATTAGTAAAATTTCAGATGACACTTAACCAATGTACATATCCCCATCACAAACACTGACATGCTACAGCCGAGCAGACAAAAGACAAACTTCCAGATGCTCTGGCTTTCTTTTCCATGTGAAACTGAGGATGATCACCCTTCTGACAAAGCGACCCACTCGCACATATACATCAATGACGGCCACACCAGAAACACAGAAAATAAGACAGGAATAGCAGTAGGCTATTCAACCCTTTGATCCTGCTCCGCTATTCATTATGATCATGGCTGGTAATCCAACTCAAAAGCCTGCTCCCACTTTTCCCTGATATCTTTTAATTCCTTTCGCCCACAAGAGACACTTGTTGAAGTGTAGCATTGGCTGTTACTCTTGAGGATTGCAGCACGTCATTGACTAGTTGCTGCAATAGATCTAAATTCAGCAACTGATCCAAAGGTTGCTTACCACCTTTGCTACCTCCGTCCATGCTATCCTGGTCTGCTGGGAACATCCTCTTCTGCAATTTTCAGGAAACAGCACTTCCTGTCTTTCCCTAATGATTTAAAAGAGAACGTGGAAGGGAGACATTGCTGAACTGTCACACCAGTCTTTTTCAGTGTACACTGATCTCTCCAAGGATATGGCAGTCTCAAGCAGAGCAATGCTCTTACTGTGATACACAGCCTCCCTGTTTGAACAGGAAGCTCTTAAAGAGTCTACATGTGGCTGTTTCATTATCAGCTGATGGCAGGTTTCATCAATGAAAATCTTTGTCCACCACTAAATCACACCTGTTTTGCATGCACATTGCTGGTCCTTTGAATTTAATTATAATGGAGTGGGTAAAGGTAAAAAAAAAGAGTGGAAGTGGAGCTCAGTTCTGGTTACAATATCAGGAAGGGCTCACTGTTGACAAAATCTTGGCCTTTATTCCTATGTGTCCACATTTTGTGTGTCTAATTCATTCCCAATTTCTTCTCCCTCTTTCTGCCTCTGTCATTTTCTTTCATTCAGGAGATATCCCATCGGACTTGATTTTCATGAGATCATCAATATTACACTAACATCACTGCATCATTGCTGCATCATCATTGTTCAATGCTTGAGCCATCTGTGGCACAATGTAGTGTTATTTCAGCGGTGAACATTAAACTGCATGAGCAAAAAAATGTGAAAAGTCTTTAATTCACCATACCATAATGTCTATACTAATAATAGAAAGTATAGATCCAAAAAAAAAAAATTAGACAAAGTCCATCTTAGTTCAATTCACAGTTTCTGGGTTTGGGAAAAGTCAATACCGCTGCAAAAAGCTGAAAGACAACACCGAAGAAGACTGCCACACCTGACTGCTGGAATATCAGCTGGAAGGTGCTACCAAAGCAGGCCATCCACGCTAGCCACTGGAATTTTGGGCAGCAAGACTCCGCGAAATCCCGAAGCCACCACAAGGACACAACTCGTCAGCGATCCCAGGCCAGAAGACGTCAGAGAAGCTGCCAAAAGGGCTCCACGTCACGGACAGGAGTTTCCAATTAGGGTTCCTCCAGAAATGGGGAGCCATACTTCCATTCTGACAGTTCTTTAATAGCACAGATCTGTAAGTGGAGGGAAAACCGTGTCCCTTTTCACAACAGTCAGCTGCTATATTCAGAATGTTAATGGGCTGGACAGTCACAGTGGCAGCTGCTGTCAAATGGTAGGTACATAAGATATGTGTGAGGCTAGGGTGCTGGGAAGGTAGGGCATCAACTGGATAGGGGATATGAACACACGAGAAAGGAACAAAAGTAGGTCACTCGAGCCTAACCCTAACCCAGCATTCAATAAGGTCATAGCTGATCTGATTTTAACCTCAAATCTACATTCCTGCATATCACTGATAATCTTTCATCCCAGTGGTAACCATAATTCCATCTACCTCTGCCTGAAAATGTCTAAAGGTTCTGCATCCACTCTCTTTTGAGGAAGGGAATTCCAAAGACACACAACTCTCAGAAGAATAAAATGTTTCCTCATCCCTCTTTTAAATGGACAACCCTTATTTTTAAATTATGTCTCTAGTTCTAGCTTCTCCCACAACAGAAAAAATCCTTTGAACATCTACTAGTCAAGTCCCCTCAGGGCCTTATATATTCGGGGTGTAATTAAGGGCATGGCGGGTCCAAGTGGTCTCAGGGAGGTATAGTGGGGGATTATGGTAAGGTGAGTGTGGGGTTACTCAAGAGTCAGACTATGTTAAAGCAATATTACCACCAATTTTAAAGAGTTTCTGGCACATGTACTTCATCTCCATTTTAAGTCTATATGAATCCTACAGCCTTCAAATTGATGAGAACCATTCAGCAAAACCTGAAAAATGTGAACAAAGAAAAAAGGGTTTTCAAATCTACAACAAAAATGAAAATTTTCATCTCATCAGAGAAAGACAAAATTGTGAATGCAGTTTAGTCAGACCCTTGATGATCTAAATCTCATCACGCTGCTTATATTTTTGTCAGGTAACACTTTCATCTTCTATTCTGCTGTTAATGTGTGTGGCATTTGGGAATTATTTCTATAGGAGGTTTTTGTAGTGGAGTTTAGAAGGATAAAAGCAAATGACTTTGGTGGCTTCAAGCTGTATTATTTGAAATAAGATTTCAAATATTCACTCCTTTCCTTTCCTTTCCATGTTATAGGATCATCAACAATCCCATATTGAATGGCAGTGCAAGCTGTAAGCTAGGAATCAGCTATAATATAATATGACACACACTTTCCCCCAAGTCAAAAGGTTGCACGTTCAGGTTCCACTCCAGGAAATTAGCTCAAACATTAAGGGCAGTACTGAGGGAGTGCTACACTGCCTGAGGTTAAACCATGGCCCTGTCTCTCCTTTCAGGTGGACAAAAGACCCAATGTCACTATTTGAAACTGAAGCAGAGTCACCCTGATGTTTGGAAAACATTTATCCCACAATCAACACACTGCATTGTTGGTTGTGGCAGCTTGCTGTGCCTGACTGAAGCCTACGATACAACTGCAAACAGCAATTCAGAAGTATTTCATTGGTTGTCCTACTTTGGAAGTCCTACACTAGCAAAACAGTTGTTTAAATGCAAACCTTTCTTTCTGTTCAAGGGTGCAAATGCCTTACTTCAGTTTCTATCACTGATTTTTAGAGGACTTGCTATTTATGTAGTTCTTTAATTGACTGATACAAAGTATAGGAGGAAAAGATCAATAACAGCACCTTTTGGTCACCATTCAATAAAATAAAACAGAAGAGAGTTTTCAATTGCAGTTTTTATTTGAGAGGCAATATTGCATTTCTTCTCACCATACAGATATTCAAGATGGATCTCCCTCCATGCCAAAACACTTGCCAGTTTCTGATTAGATGCACCGGCAGGTCCATCAGAAACAGCTCAGGACAGAACAGGCTGAAGATAGGGCCATCCAATGTCATGAAACCATGCGAAAAGTGAAGGAACCTGACTTGTAACAGAGAAATCCTTAGACTAGTCTTAAGTTGCCAACTCCACTGCTTAGTAAGAAACTACTGCACAACTCAAGGGACAGTCATGTTCATGGGGTCAGCTACCAGAAAGAGAAAATTATCAGTAGGTACTCCAGATCTCTGACCATTTTGTATCTATAATATGCTATGCTTGATATCTGACTGAAACTTGTTCTATTTCTACAAGTTTAAAAAAGACTGAAAGAGGCAGGACCCCATCATTTTGAAGCGCAGAGCACTTTCATGTCCAGTAAAAGTTGGACATTTGCTTAGTTCCTCTAGAGTTCTGCTGATTTAATATTTTTAGTTTTATGAAGATGGTCATAGTTCTCCACCCCAATTTATTTACAGGCACTTAAATAAACACACTGCTGTACACGTTTTATGTACCTTTTATGATAGCGTCAGAATTTCATTGTCATTGGAAATAGGCCAGGTCCAGTTGTTCACACTGATGTTTCCCACCCTACATTGATGCATCACTATGCTTTGAATTTGTATTCAACAATCAAAAATAAAGTATTGTTATTCATGAACATTTTGTCATGGATATACATCTATCAATCTTCACTCTATTTTTGCGTCAGCTTGATAGTGATTCTGAGAGTACTAGCAGCTTTGAATCAGAAGTTTGTGAATCAAGGACATATGCCTACAATTTAAGCAGACAGTATGCCATGTCTATGCTGCCTTGTGGTAAGTGCAATTGCAAATTGATATCAATTTAAAGTTCTATTGGCCTCCTTCAGCAGTTCAAGTGGAATCCAATGGCTAACATCCCTACCTCCAAACATTAACTAATCAGTTACCTGCTTGGCAGGATGGTAATTCAGTTGTACTCAACCTAAATAACAGCAGTCACTTAAATTTAAGGTAATTTAGTATAAATGAATCCATTTCTGACATTTCTAAGAGACATGTTAAAGTTCAAGTAGTTTTTGCATGCATTACCAGTGCCAATAATTGTTCAGA